GTATTAAATGTAGTATTATTTACAATAGCCAAGATACGAAAACAACCTAAGTGTCCATTGACAGATGGGTTTTCTGGGTCACATGTGATGCCTGAACTGTAGTAGCCATCTGTGACTATAAAGTGAGCCAGCCCGAGAATAAGCTGACATGTGGAAAATGGGGCAGGGAAAGAAAGAATTTAGGTTCTCACTGACAATCTGAGTCGTTAAAATAACCAACTCTTACTGTCATGTAATAAGATCCCCCAAATAAATTTTACTTATATGGTTTAAGTTTATCAGTATTTACTTTACAAGAAATTAAAATACAAGAATACACAAATACACATTTTACTACCTAAGAGAGCAAAGATATCTTCACGTGTCATATAACCCCTCTGAAAACTCCATTATACATCTGTGAGAGAATGTGAGTATAAAAAGCAAACAAATTATGTTTTTATGTTTAATTATGAGGACCCCTTGTCAGGTCCTCAGGGACTCCCAGGGGACCTTAGCCCTCATTTGGAAAATTGCTGGATTAAGCTTTCTACTGACTTAAAAATCATTTGCTTCTGTAACCTAAAAGATACAGTGGTATTCTCCAAGAAAGGATTACCTACAAAAGGGTTACTGTTACAATACACCTAATTTTATCAAAGCAATAAAAACTCTACACCAAAACGCTAAACGAACACCACTACCCCAAACCCAAATGACAATTCTCAGAAAAGCAAAATCAAACAATGACATAAACATGTAGACCTAATAGCTACCAAAGGGTTACTAGGATGGAGCTAATGAGAAAAACATAATCGCCTCCATAATTATCCAGGATTTTTACAAGTTGTTTTTATTAGTGTCCCTACAGATCACTAAAACTTCACTAAAAATATCAGTTCTCAAAGTACAGACATAATTGGTGTGAGTAGCTAAAAATTTTGTATAAAGGAGAGGGGAAAAAGGCCCTAAAAACAACTCAGACAGGCAATAATACCTGCATGGACTACCTACATGCATGGGTTACCAGGGGTACAGTTGTGTGTGTGTTTCGGGGGGGGAGAAGGGGGGAAGGGGAGACAATAATTATGTATGGACCAGATGAGAGCCAGTCCACTTTGACCACAGTGCCCTCTGATGGTTCTGCTGAGTAAGTGCAAAAGAAAAATCAAACCACATAAAATTTTATGTCCCACATTTATTTGGCTCTGATCTAAGTTTTCCTAAAATAAGCCTGGCTATGAAATGAAAGCCTCAAATTTATAATCTAATCTATTTTATATATTATGACTCAAATATATTTGAAGTACAGAATAGTTTATGATCTAGTATCCATTTTTTAGTGGCATCAATCTAATAAGAGCTACTTAGCTAAGGATCAGCTGTGGTATAGCACATTATTCACTATCCTTCACTATTCCCTTAAAAATCTACAGAAAAAGCAAAACCAGTATACTTGATGAAGATCCAAACTATTCTAAAATGTCCAATAACACAGTCTATGTCTAACATCAATTAAAATTCCTAAAAAGAGATACATGTTTACCTTCAGCACCAGACAACAGTCCGTCGGGGCTTTGTATTTGTTCCGATAGTCCTGCCCATAATAAACATTGACATGATCCAGCTGGAGAAAGCATACCAGATCCCGAGAAACCTAAGATAAAACACAGACAAATGGATAAATTAACAATAATGTGTAAGCAAGCAAATATCATAACTGGTAACAGTTTCTAGTAGAAAAATCAAAATTTTACCATGTAGAAATTACTGCTATTTTACAGAGGACAAGACAGTGAGATTCTCTAGAAATGTTTCTTTTTTAAGCCATGATGCAACAAAAAAGGCCATCCCTTTTACTAACTGTCTTGCCATTTACAATTAACACTGACTTGCTTGGAAAAGGGTGGCATTTTAAACAAACTTAACTATGGTATAGTATATTAAAAATAATCTAGTATAGTAGAGCTCTCTGCAAAGAACAAGAAAATAATGCAGTTCAGTGTCTGACCACACATATCTCAAGCACAGTGATTCTCAAGTCGGGGTTTCCTTACCAGTTAAATAGGGGCAACAGTACGTACTTCTTGGGTGGCAGTAAAGACTGGAAGAAGTGATACAGTGAGGAGCTAAAAACAGCGCTGTCCCCCCCGCCCCCCATTAGCACAAAAGCGACAGGTAAGGCTAAAACATCCATAATCCCAGAAAGCTATTCTCCCCAAACAACAAGCAGCAAAAACTACTCTGGTAGAAGTCCCAAAAAATAATACATATAAGGGTGGTTTCAAATTTGGCAAGAGAATGGAGATGGGCCCAACTAATGGGCAGAGAGTGAACATTTTCAGGTTTCTTCTTCTTAATAACAGATCAGTAAACAAAGCAATGTTCTGTGTCCTACAGAAGCTGAAACAAATCAGAGCCTGGATTCACCCTGTCAGCACACTCACTAAAATAAAATCAATTAGCACAATGAAGAAACTCAAAAGCCAGCAGAAGGGACACACCTTCGCTTTTCCTTTAGGGACATAGTAAATACCAGATGCTCGCAAGAGAAAGTAACGCTTTTTCCAGGACTTCTTGCCATCATCTTTCAACCAAAGGACTCCTTCAATTTCTGGTATAGTTACAGAACTTCCACAAAAACATTCCTAAAAGATGATAAATTGGAAAGACATATAATTCTTGGATTCTCAGAACAAAGTTGTGTTTACTTTTGTAAAATGTATGACACTGTAATTTAAACCAAAGTGGCTTTGTATTAAAACCATGCTGTTAATTATACCTCAATCAGAACTCTCTATTGTAACATAATATGGACTTATTTTAGAACTGCTATGGCAGTCCCTGTGAAATTTTACCTAATATACAGTTGTTCTTTTTTTAAAATATAATTTATTGATTTTTTACAGAGAGGGATAGAGAGTTAGAAACATCGATAAGAGAGAAGCATCGATCAGCTGCCTCCTGCACACCCTCTACTGGGGATGTGCCTGCAACCAAGGTACATGCCCTTGACTGGAATCGAACCTGGGACCCTTCAGTCCGCAGGCCGACGCTCTATCCAGAGAGCCAAACCAGCTAGGGCCTAATATACAGTTTTGAAGAAATAGATGAAATGTCAACTGAATTGCATGTAACGACACTTAAATGCATTTGTAAACAGCACAGTTATACTAAGTTTAATAAAAGTGTCAGAACTAACATAAGCATTGCACTTTATATTTATCCAAATTAATAACACATTTAGATTAGCTGTCAAGCTAAATAGGAATGCATTTTAAAAGAAAGCAACATGCTAAGTGAATGATTACAAAAAGCAACCATGTATTTAGTAAAAGAATTTTAGAAATACTAAAGATTAACATAGGACATATGGAGCCTAAATTAATTTCTCTCTCCCTGAAGTACAGAAAAATTAGGAATTACAAGAAGGATTTTTCTTGATTGTAGTGAGTACCATATAAAAAGCTGAGTGCTAATCTTCACTTTCCTAATTGCCTTGTTGTAAGCAAGCATTTATTCAGGTTTTCAAACATATGAACGTCTTTGGTCTTAATGCTCTTAAATTAGCAAAAGCCAAAAATTCAATATGAATTTGTTTTATTATTCTTCAAAATAAAGAGATGTATGTATTTTTAAAAATGATTATGCATGTAAACATTCAGTAAGACTAAGGCTGAAATATTTTGTAAACAGCTATTTATATTCAAGTTTCTCTCTGGGTAAGCAGATAAACAGCACAGTCATATGCTTCATTGACCTGCCTTTTCTCCCACTCATCAGCCCACAAAAAGCTCATGCCCCTTTTAGTACACCAGCTGAACTCTCTCCATCAGGCTATAGAAAAATAGAGTCTCCTCTAGTTACACTGCAAAAATAAACATACTGCATTGACATAACTGACTTAAAAACATGGTGGTTAATATTTTAATATTATAATGGGAGAGTGAAGAGTCATACCTCCAACAGCACTTCTTTGTTTCTATCTGCCATCTCAGCTGTTTCCTTTTTCCCCAGAAGATAGTTCTGGAAAAATGAATAAGTGCAAGTTAAAGAATAAACACATTCTATTATTCCCTTGGCACAAGAGCATATGTGATTTCTTCTATAGACATAGCACCTCTGTGTCAGTTTCCAGCTGTGTAGGAGGAGAAGGAACACTCATTGGAAAGCAACCTGTGCAGGGACACCATCATTAAGTGGCTTCCTCCTTACCTTCCTCATTCATCTTGACCTACTCAATATAAGTGCTCTCCCCCAAATCCTGAGGTAATACTACATGCAACAATATTATGTTTTGATATATCTAATGAAAGTTGTGTTTACAGGACCTGAAAGGTTTACAAATTAAGTATGACAAAGAAAGCAAATTTCCTTAAAATATGCTGAGCTTAACTGATCCAGATGCAGAAAATGTAATTTCATGTTCTGGGCTTTAAAGAAGAAATCCCAAATTCTCTGAGACTGCCATAATCTCATTTTGGTGACTCAACTAAAATATGAATTCTAATTATTAGCCTTATGAAAAAATTTTCAACAATCACCCATAAAAATATCTATCAATATTCCCAAATGGGTATTCTTCACTTAAAATGTCCAATAAAGATGTGTCATGATTAAGCCACCTGAAGGATGACTACTCAATAACTTTAACACTATTTTCCCTCATTACTACTTTTTATAGTGGGGCTGTTTTCTCTTGTCTATTGATTTTTGTAAAATACTAGAGGCTCAGTGCACGAGATTCATGCACTGGGGGGTGGGGAGTCCCTCAGCCCGGCCTGCGCCCTCTCACAGTCCTGGACCCCTGGGGGGATGTCCGCTGGGGATTGGACCGAAGCCAGCAGTCAGACATCCCTCTTGCAGTCTGGGGCTCTAGCAGTTCGGGACCCCTCGCTCCTTATCACCTGCCCATAGTGGAGGCAGGAGAGGCTCACGCCACTGCTGCTGCACTTGCTAACTGTGAGCCTGGCTTTTGGCTGAGCAGTGCTCCCGCTGTGGGAGTGCACTGACCACCAGGGGGCAGCTTCTGTGTTGAGCATCTGCCCCCTGGTGGTCAGTGTGCGTCATAGAGAGACTGGTCATTCTGCCGTTCAGTCGATTTGCATATTACATTTTTATTATATAAGATAGGATTTGGGCAATAGAAAGTATTAACTCAAACATTGTTTTGAAATAAGCAAAGATGCCAAGTAAAGCAAGGTCACATGTATTAGTATGTGGAACCATTTATAATCAAGGTTACTAAGATCAAAAAATAATTTAAAAAACAAATCAAAATCTCAACTGGATAAATGGCTGAAATAGAGAAACTTAAATACGTAAGTACTTTTCTTTGATGGATAGAAACTCACCAAATAAATAGCTACTCAACACAGCTCTGGATTAGAGCAGAAACCTGGAAACTCCCTGGAGTTACTTCTGCTGCCCCCAGAGCTTACCCCATCTGGCTCTTTGGGCTGATAACCTCCCTCGGGCCTGACAACCAGGGCCCAGCAGTCCCTCCACCCTAGCAGTAGTGAATGCTCCCATTGGGTTTTACCACCACAGTATTCCAACCAGGTGGTTGCCAATCTTTTAACTCTATCAACTTAGTAATGACAGAACGATATAAGCATTTAAAAATACCAACCTCTGTGTTTTTGAGTCTCACCTGTGGATTTTTGAAAAGTGCATATTTTTCTATACGCTCCATAAACATAAGCCTGTTTTGACTATCTCTTGTCCAGTTAAGAAGATTTTCAACCAAGTTTTCATGGTCTTCAAAAATTCTTTCTGTCCCAAAATAAAATACCAGTACTTTGTTAGTATTCACCAGAATTGCATCAAATATATGAAACCATGCAAAATAATTCACAGCAGAATCACAGAATCCTTACTGACACTACAGTCCTGGGCCCTTAGAGATTTTCCACCTGTTTTCAAATAAGGGAACATGCCCTAATGGTGGTAAGTGACTTTAGCAAGGTCACACGCCTGCTACATGGAAGAATTAGGACTGGAATCTAATTCTTCTAGGTCTTCTTTAGCTTTCAGCCTTTTCCCATTCATCCTTAAAAAAGAATATGTTAGTTGCATATCATAAATTCTGATATTAAGTATTTCCAATAATATTCAGTTCTTGTAATTTAAGAAATTTCCAAGATAATTTTTTCTTTGAGTCATGGGTTTTTCTTTTAAACATAGACATATTTTCTAACTTCCAAATTAGGAATCAAAGCACATGACCTTTAGATTGAACATATATATTCAAAGAACCCATTTAGATACTAATTTTTTGAAATTTCTTGAAGTTGCTTATGGCCTCATACTTGAATTTTTAGAAATATTCCTCTTCTGCTGGAAAGAATGTATATTTTCCTGTAATTAGTGTTCTAAACTTATTTCATAGATTAAACAAATTATTTTTCAAATCTCCTGTATCCTTTTTGGCTGCTTGATTGTACTGATCATTGAAAAGGTTCTACTATGAAGGCTGACATGAGTTTCTCCTCGTAGTTCTGTCAACTTTTGCTTTATACAATTTAATGCTATTAGATAAAATTTAGAAATATGGTCTCTTCCTAGTGAATATGTGTGTTCTCTTCATCTCTAGTAATGCGTTTTGCTTAAAGTCTATTTTGTCTGCTATTAACAAAGTTAATTACCTTTGTTTTGGTTAATGTCTTTTCACATTACTTTTACTTATGTGTCTTTAGATAATAGGTCTTTTTTATAAACAGCAAACAGTTGCATTTTATTTATTCATCCTTTCTAATAATATTTGTTTAATTGAGTAGTTTACATTTATCATAAGTTGTTTCTACCAACTTATTTGGGCTCTTAGTAGCCCCTTGTTTTCTTTTCTTTTAGTCATTCAACAAATACTGAATGACTATATATATATATATATATATAT